AATTCCTGTATAGACCTTCTCTCCAACTTACACTCTTGATAAATACAGCTGAGGATATAATAGATAACATTTTTGTAAAACTTCCCTCCCCGAATTTTTGAACGCAAATCAAAAAAAAGATCTTTGTACAGCTCGAGTCATCTAAAACCGGCCAATTTTGTGCGGTATTTTTGAAGCCTATCACGTGGACACAAAGAGCACTTTTGGGTTCAAACTCTTCATGGTTTTATATAGTAAATGGCAAAGAATAATTCTATGAAAAGTTTTGGGGTTGAACAACTATAATTAAAATTTTAATTTGAGTGACCATCTAATTGATAAAGGACGAACCATTAACAAGCTTGCCAATTGTTCATTTCTTCTTATTGAGTATGCCACCACTTACAAAAAGGCAAAAACATTTAAAAAATTTGTCTTTAAGAAAAAAGACTTTTCGAAAGTTGTTCTTCATAATAAATGAAAATGATAACGAAGATAATGAAGATAATGAATCAATTAACAACAGTGATGATGGATCAATTAATGATAATGATAATGAATCAAGTAACGAATCAATTAATGAAAATGATGATGAATCAAATAGCGATAGTGATAGTGATAGTGAAGTAAGTTGATGGGATACAGATTTAGATTCTAATTGCAGCTATTTTGTGAAAGTCCTTCAAAATGGAATAAATAATTATAAGCCTTCTGCACGTCGTTCTGGCTGCTTGGAAAATGCACACGAACTAGGTGACTTCATGGAGTGGTTTACAAAAAATTGTTTCCGAAGCTTTGGATGCAGTTTCTCTTGAAAAAATTAGAAAATTTGCAAGTAAATCTTTTAAATATATAGAATGTTATAGACAAGGATTAGATGAAAAACAAGCTGAATATGCCTTAAAAAAATACAAACATCATCGTATTATTTCAAGTAATATTTTGAAATTTTGCCGCTTATCGACAAAAGTGGTCGGTTTTAGATGACTCGCGCTGTGCTAGTTTATTTAAAGATTGATTATATATATATTTGCTTGATCATTAAATTATTCAAATAAATAAATCTACAAACTGTTATATTGCATCTAGTAGTCATCAAAAGAAAATTTTAAAAAGCATACATCAATTCTCAAGCTATTGTTATTATTAAAATAATGATGAATAAGCAAAGAACGTCCTAAAGATTATTACACAGTTTTATTGATGATGTATTTAATAGAATCATTCTCGCGCTTAGTTTTTCAAATTTTCTTTGTATTATAAATCTCTATAATTTATATTAACAAAAATCACAATATATGCTAAATAACTATGCATAATTAACAATACATAAGCATGTCTTCATTCCATAATGCCATCTGTTTATATAAATAGCAGATTTAGATAATAAAGAAATTCTTTTAGATGACTAAAGTAAACCTTTCTTTGCTGCTCTATATATAATTTAAGAGACTGATAATATTGCGGAGGTTTTTTCTATAATATGTATGTAATGCTTATACTTTCATAAATAATCGGTTATAAACTTGTTTTTAACAAAATTCCCAAATATGATTAGTATTAGTTAGCAAATTTTGAGTCATATAGGAAATGCTAGAGTCCTAAAGGGCAATATAATAAACACATTCTTCTTCTTTGTTGTTGTCATTGTTTTGTCATCATCGATACAATCAATTAGAGACTGCTTCAAACTAATACTTCTCATAAATCTTTTTTTTTTTTTGATAACAGTCACCGAGGTATTTATTAGCGTTAACGTGGTCACCAAAGCCATTTATTATTCTACGAGTTATTATCATCTACAAATTTTAGTTAATATTTTATAACTCGGGCATGTCTGAGGACTGATAAGTTGTCGATTATGAAAAAAAGTATTAACGTGATCACCAAAGCCACTTATTATTCCACGAGTTATTGCCCATAAATTTTAATTATCTATCTATATACGGAAACACATATATAAAGAACATTGGGTCCGTCCCGAAAGTTTTGAGGCGAAGTAATTAAGAAAAGACATATTTCCCTGTTACAAATTTTTGCCAA